CTGTATTCCCCCCACGACTGAGCGTGCGCTGACATAGTACAGCTTCAACAGACATGACCTGAGATTGTGCTTTTGAGCGTAAGCGCATAGCTCCGCTCTGCTCATAATGTAACTGAGAAACTTATTCTGAACCTTGCGCCGCTTATGGGGCTTGGTGCTCGGAGGACCGGCAGCTTGTATCTCACATGAACGAGAATACCTGCAATAAATATGAACGCTGAGTTAAATAATGCGGTTCCATCTTACGTATTTGGTGCGGTAGCAGCGTCAGGACCGCACGATAATTGGGGAGGGGGAGAATCTCTGCAAGAGAAATCCAAAAGCCTCGTAAGCATTTTGCCAGTCGTATAAGCCTACTCCACCTCACTGGAAATTTGACGCCATGCTTGTTCAGGCACAAACCAACGAACTAGACGTTGATTAAAATCTTTTCAAGTTCACGCCAGAGCTATGACAAGACAGAACCGCACTCTCGCGCAACCGATGTTACTGAGCCCGAATTTGGCCTCTGATGTTCCTTCATGCAACACGAGCAATGCGCTTATCCAAGCCACATGCCGTGAATTCTGTGGCCTCGAGTCATGTGCTCATCTAGGGGTTGCAACGCTGAACATACAACTTGAGGTCCGTCAGGATTCAGACCTTGATTCTACAACCACACATTAAGTAATGGACGAGGAGACGGAATTTGCCCTTGGCCTCAGGTAGTTGTCCGAGTCGTTCTAAGATATATTGAACATAGTTGACCGACTTTCTGCCAAAAAAAACCTGAAGAGCATTCAACACAGGTGATATTATCAGTACATAGAAGCTCTCTGGAATACAGCGATTTTCTCGCAAATCCTCTTCGATCCTCTGTAGGTATGTCCTCTGGCAGATGAGGCTCACCCCTCGGTCACTCGAGATGATGGAAACTTTGTACTCCGTCGCCTTCTATCTTATCGACTCGTGTTGACGGGTTGCCGCCACCCCTTGGGGTTCAGTGAGCCAATTTGGAGGCCGAGGAGCATTGACAATCAGTGGAATGTAAAGTTGCTAACTCAACATCCTTACGCTCCGCTCGGACTCTTATTGTCGCTGCCCGACTCCTGTCTTCGCTCCTCGTCACCACCATGTTTCACTACTAGACACACTCGAAAAGTGGAATGACAACTATGCAGAACCATCTGGTCTATCATGGACAGTGGATCTGTGGAACAGTGTATGGGAAACCGAAGTCAATGTCCTCGGCCTTCTCCCTGTCATGCAGGATCCGCTGGGACGACATGCCAGCATCGACAATATTCCCGAGTAGTGTCCTGTGATGAAGGGCCCTTCAAAAAAGTTTCGAAATTTTGGCACAACAGCCACCTACATATAGCAAGATAACTACAGCTGAGGATAGGTTTCGCCGCCTCATCGAGATCCATAGTACTCATTCAGCATCCCGGAGAACTCATTCGCGCATATGAGTGATGATGCTTCGTATTCGCGCGAAAGGATAACTACAGGCAGCGCGAAAAATGGTGCGTTGTTTGCAAAAATTGTTTTGGAATTCTGGATATCCACGACTCAGCTCACTATATGTTTCATAGGAAGGCATATGTTTCTGCATGTCATCTTGGGCCTCCAACTGAATGCCAAGCTTCCGACAATGATTCAAGTTTATTCGGCGTGTGCATATCAGTTCAATTGGCGGAGAGATGATGGATAGCGGCGTAGCAGCCGCCAGTCTTTAATTCCATATCTCTGAGGCATGATATCTGGTCGATTCGCACCTCTACATAACCACCACCACCTGCATTTGTTGACTACAGTGGCTTATGATTGTCCAGGCTGCTACGGCGCAACAAAACAGGCCTGGGTGAATGAGACAGAGGCTCATGCTCACTACCTCTTTGCATGAGTCCGTTCACGTTCGGTGAAGCCATCATCGCGTACGCATTCTACTTATTTGCGTAGTCCGTCACGATGTTCTGACACATTTCAAGTCGGACATCAATTCAAGGCATACGATCCGTGTCCCGGAGAAGAAGAGCTCCAGCGCTGGCCCGCCCGTTATGCGCTGATTTCCGGTCAGCATTTTATAGCGCGAGTGACCGGAATAGCTATGAAGAATGTCTATCAACTTAATGCTTGGGTTCAGCCCCTCTGGCTCTACGGATGCTGCTCGCCAGGCATCAAGTCACCGAGCCTCGGAATGGCACACGGCCCCTCACGATTTATTCGTAGAGTCCACCCAGATTCAAGCTACCTGCTTCACAACTCTACCTGTCGGATATCGACGCCTTACTTGACGTCCCTGGTGATCTGTCACTTCCAATCACAGTAACGCAGAATGTGTAGAACACTATGATCGTGCTCTCCGGGGCATTCTTACCGCCTGCTGCTGGCCATCTGCTAGAGGACATAGCTGTTCGTCCTTTGCGTTCGGGCGGAACGTGGTCCCTGATAGAGTTAGAACCTGAAGATTCAGCATTGGAGCATTGATTCCGACCTTGTGGCTCATCGTCGGAGGCAATATGTGTATGGTCAACGGGGCTAACATTTGACTTCTTATCATAAGAAGGGCACTGCGATTCTATTCCAGTGCACTCACGCAGAGAGGCTGGCGAGGATTGGGATCAAAGACTTCATTTACATCTGCATGGTACCATCTGAGAATCATCCTCAATTCGTTCCTGGTGGCCAACTATTGCCAAACGCTACAAGTTTATGTGTCGGTACATGTTCAATCTGAAAGTGTCGCAATGAATACGGTTTGCGTTCGGTCTGTCAGGTTTCCTGTCTTCACTCTGACGCCTCTGGATCTCAGCATCGCTTGACATGTATATCTGTATACGGGCATAAAATATCTCAAGACATCCCGCACTTCGAATGGCTGATAACAATCTGGTAGCATGCGAGGGCATATGTGATCAAAACGTGACATTTGTCCTTACCAGTCCCTCAACCCAACCATTTGCTTCACCTCTCGCGTACGTCCCACAATTTCCTATTGTCGCTCTAATGACTGGCACGGGCGACCGTGCTGCCAACATATGCCCTCTTATCTCGATCTCTGAGATGTGCTTCAGGTTTGCCATCCAACATGGGTAAGAACATTATACTCCGCCGCCTTCCATCACACCAACTCGCGTTAGCGGTTTCGGGGTGGGCCACATCGCACAATGCCACATAGAGCTGCAGCGCCCGGACGATACGCAGGTTCGATAAGACGCATCGCTTCATGGCAGCTGAGAATCAGTAGGATCGTTGCGGTCGAGAACGTTCAGCATTGCGGAAATACCTGGTCTGTGCTTACTATCCTGGGACGGCTTGTCTAGCGGATGAGGTCGCTCTTACGTCGTCTGCGCATCTCCGCCGTCCCCCGTGAAGGGGGGACCCCAATATCTGAACATCTCGACACGGGGATTGGACGGACATCTTGTGCGCACACGTACGTTCTGATGTGTGCGCATTGTACGGCTTCGTGACGAACCACTGGTTCATTGTCGAGGCCCGCGTTTTGTGTGGCGCACGCGAGCGTGCGAGGCGCCGTCAATGCTCCTCTCGTCGCTTACAACTGATGCGACAGATCATTGCCATGATTAAGGGCACCTTATCAGAAGTACGGTGGCAAGCCAGCCTGCATGTAACGGCATTATACCATGCCATGGTGTTCCCTTACAAGCCCCATGCATGCATGCATATCCACGTTCAGAGTACCAGACTGGAAGGCCTTGGACCTGTCTGAGATTCGTACGGGGCCTCCGTTAATAGGCTGCTCGTGTACAAAACTCACGACATCCACTAGTATATAATCACTGGTTGCGACACACATGTTCTTAGCTCATACATGCGTATAAGAGTGAAAGACTAACCGTGAGGCAAAATATGAAAAGAGGTCCAACCGCACAGGAAAGATTATATTCAAATTCGGAAAAGAGACAGTATGGATGCTTGAGAACAATTTGTAAGATCATTCCAGAGCATCCTTCTTCGAGGCACCACGGACGGTGACTCCACTCGATAGATAGCCTGACTGCACTGCCATAATAGTCACCGAGGGCCAGAAATAAGTTCAATTACCGCCCTTCGACCGCCGCCGCAGCCTGTCTTCGTCGACTTCCCCGGGAAGCTTCTTGTCCAGGCTGTCTGGCCTACCCAGCACAGGCTGCCACTCAGGGAGCGCGGGCGCGTCCACAGGCGACGCCGCAACGGAAAGTCCGTTCGCATCGTCCTGTGGCGTATCCTTGCGAACGCCCATCTCACCCGGGCCGACTGGCTCAACGATTTCGCTAAGGACAGCGATGCGTGTCCAGCGCCTGAAGCGCGTATACTGTGCGGGATGTGGACATCGCTGGGTCAGAGACAGAGACAAGCGTAAACAGACCGACACCCTCACCTTACCCATCCCACCCTTCCCACTCGCACCCTCCCACTTGTTGTCCCCATATACCCACCCGTCCGCATCCGTGAACATGTCACCATCCTGCCTCTCGTCTTCCGCATCCCCGTCGTCTCGCTCACGGTCGCTCTTCTGGCGCTCCGGGCTCCCGCCGCCAAGGCTCAGGCTCATGCTGCCCTCGCGCATCTTCCCCGCCGCACGCAACACCCTTGCCGCACCGGACGTCGCAGAGCCTGGCGCCTCCTCCTTCGGCAGCGGGCGCTCGACGCGCGCGGCTGGCTCGCCCTCCCGATGTACCGCCA